CTGGGTTCCAGCCCAGGGCCCTGTGAACTGTAGCTGTCTAGAGTGCCTCCTGGAACAGCTGCGTGACAGCTACAATTCCCTGGGCTACTTCCCCATGGCCTCCTCCCAACACCTTCTTTATCCTCACCACAGGACCTTTCTCCTGGTGTCTGATAAGGCTTGTACTCCTCAGTCCTCCAGCAGTACACCTTCTCACTCTCAGCTCCTAGTGCCTCTTGCTCCCAGCTCCGCGCATGCATGCCACAAACTGAAGCGCGGTCCTTTTTAAACTCAGGTGCCCTGATTAGCCAGCCTGTCCTAATTGATTCTAGCAGTTTCTTCTTAATTGGCTCCAGGTGTCCTAATTAGCCTGCCTGCCTTAATTGGTTCCAGCAAGTTCCTGCTTGTTCTGGAACTGCCCCTGTTACCTTACCCAGGGAAAAGGGATCTACTTAATCTGGGACTAATATATCTGCCTTCTAACACTCTCCTGTAGCCATCTGGCCTGACCCTGTCACACTATCCATACAACCGAAATCTATTTCTCACACATTGATTACGTATGGACTAACAGAGGAGTTTGCCATGACAATGGATAACACAGTTAAATGATACAATGAACTAATTGGCTACATAATGCATAGGCCAAATCACCCCTAATGTTACTCCATGGACTTAAATGCTTTCGGAGATGAAACTGTATCCTGCTGTTGCCCCTCCAGCTCCTGCCAAAGTCTCCCAGGGGTCAAACACAGTAGACATGTAGAAGTTAGAGGGATTTTTTAATTGAAAAAAGTGACATAAAGGGAAGTGACAAACCCTCACTGGGAATTAGGGATAGGAAGTTCTAGGGAATGATGTCTAGGTGCTGAAATTGTCTGCTCACCGCACAAAAGGTAAAAGAGCTAAGGGTGAGGTGAATGTGTGAAAGGACTGATGGTTTAGAAAATGGAGAATTTCTACCACAGGGTAACTCACCTCTCCTGAGCAGCCTACATATGGGGACAGGAATGCAGAGAGATAAAAGAGAATCTTAATTGGGCTGTGTAGCCCCAAATGATGCTCTCTCAGGCCAGTAAAAACTCAGAGGGAATCCATTTCCAGAGAAAACCCAGGCAGGTCAGTGGAGTTGGATCAGATTTAAACCAGACACATAAAAATGCACAAGATTTGGCCCTTAAAGGGCTAAAGCTTTTAGCATTACACTTTGTGAGGTTGAATCCTTCCTTTTTTCTCTGCATAAGTTTTTTTCTTTTTTTTTTTTTTTATGGGGGCTATGGGATTCGTGGCGAAAGCTGAAAGGAAGCCACTGGCATGAAGACTGAAGTTCTCAACACCAAGGCCTGGTCTACACTGGGGGGGGAAGGTCGATCTTCAACTTCAGCTACTAGAATAGCGTAGATGAAGTGGACGTATCTTAGATCGAATTAAAATTACTTACTTCGTGTCCTCACGGCGCTGGATCGATGGCCGCGGCTCCCCCGTCGACTTTGCTTCCGCCTCTCGCACTGCTGGAGTTCAGCAGTCTACGGGAGAGTGATCGGGGATCGATTTATCGCGTCTACACTACACACAATAAATCGATCCCCGATAGATCGATCGCTACCCACCGATCCGACAGATAGCGTAGACGTATCCCAAGAGAAAAAACAAACTTGGGTTTTGGAACATATGGACATTGTATGAAACAGGGAAGCTAGTTCAGGTCACAGAGAGATGAGACTCTTCAGCTTACACATCCTGGGTGTCAGCAACAGCAGATTGACGGGATCAGGAAAATTAACAACAGCGTCAGGAGAAGCTTTGCTGTATTCTGGATGGGATGATGTACAACACCATGAGGGTGTTGCCATCCTTTTGAAGAAGGGAGTGGAGCAGTCCCTGCTTGAGTGGAAGTCCATCAGCAGCAGACTTATGAAAGCCAAACTGAAAGGGAAACACAATAATATCGCCCTGAATAAGTGCTATGCTCTGACAAATGACAGTGATGAAGAAGCAAAGGACAAATTCTATATTACATTACAGGCGGAGTTCAAGAGAGTACCACGCCACAACCTAACTATCGTCATGGGAGACTTGAATGCCAAGGTCGATAAGGACAACACAAACAACAACAGAGCAAATGGGAAGACATGGGTGTGGCACCATGAATGAAAACGAAGAGAGGATTGTTGATTTCTGCAATATGAATGACCTAACCATAGGCAGAACCCTATTTCAACATCATGAAATTCACAAGCTGACATGGTGTTCCCTAAACGGCAGAGATAAGAATCAGATTGACCATATAATGATCAATCGCAAATGGGGACGCTCACCGACAGATGTGAAAGTGAAAAGGGGAGAAGATGTTGGCAATGACCACCACCTTGTGTCAGACTCCATCAAGCTAAAATTGAGACGTGTGGGTCCACCAAAAAAAAAAAAAAAAAAAAAAAGGACATAGACCAGGGATCGGCAACCTTTGGCACGCGGCCCGCCAAGATAAGCACCCTGGCGGGCCGGGCCGGTTTGTTTACCTGCCGCATCCACAGGTTCGGCCGATCGCGGCTCCCACTGGCCGCGGTTCACCACTCCAGGCCAATGGGGGCTGCGGGAAGCGGTGCGGGCCGAGGGATGTGCTGGCCACCGCTTTTTCAATTATACCTTTCATGGCCCATCTTGCATAAAACATATCTTAGTTATGCCATATTCATATCACAACAATATTTCTATGAAGAATACGGGGTGTAACATCACAGGGAGATCAACAAGAACTGGGACAAAGTAACAACAATCTATAAACAGAGCAGTGAAGCCTGTCTAGGCTACAGGCAGAAGAGAAGAAGGGAGTGGATTACACCCAGCACATGGAATGCCATAGAAACCAGATGAGCTCTGAAGAAAAAAGTTTTAGACACAATCCCAGAAGCTAAAGGACAAATACCACGAGCAGTATAGCAAGGCACACCGGGAGGTCAAAGGGCTTGTGAAGGCAGACAAACGACATTATATTGATAATCTGGCAACACAAGCAGAGGATGCAGCTGTTCGTGGTGAACAAGGAACCGTCTACAAAATGATGCAGCTTATCAGTGGTAAATGACAGAGACCAACAAACACTTTCATCAGGGACAAACAAGGCCACCTACTGACAACAGAAAAAGAACAAGAAATGCGCTGGACAGAGCATTTCAGAGAATTGCTGAACAAGGAGCCACCTAAAGAGGAAACAAACATCCGGGAGGCAGAAGTTCTTGATATCAACACAGACACCCAAACTAAGGAAGAGATCATTCAAGCCATCAAATCCTTAAAAAATGGGAAAGCTCCTGGCAAGGATAACTTGAATGCAGAATTATTCAAGGTAAATCCTGAGTTAGCAGCATCTATCCTGGCCCCTCTATTTACATCAGAAAGGGGGGAAAGTGCCAGATGAGTGGACCAATGGGGTTATAGTGAAGATACCAAAGAAAGGAACTCTCAGTGATTGTAATAACTGGCTTGGTATCACACTTTTATCTGTGCCAAGCAAGGTATTGTGTAAGATCATAGTCCAGAGGCAATTGATAGCGCTCTCAGAAAAGAGCAAGCCGGTTTTCGGAAAGGGTGTGGATGCACAGACCAGATCTTCACTCTATGAAACATAAGAGAGCAATGCTTAGAATGGCAATGGCAACTTTACATAAACTTCATAGACTTTGAGAAGGCTTTTGATATCATTCACAGGACCAGCCCATGGTGCATTCTGTGGGCCTATCGAATCCCTCTCTGTATAATCAACATAATCAAAAGCTTCTATTCCAACTTTACATGCAGTGTTGATCACAGTTTTGAAGTCAAAACAGGAATACGTCAGGGGTGTATCAGGTCTGCAATCCTCTTCAACCATTGCCATCGACTGGGTAATGCAGCATACAACAGAAGATATGCCAAGAGGCATTAAATGGACACCCTTCTCATCCCTTGAAGACCTGGACTTTGCAGATGATCTCACTCTCCTATCACATACCCAAACACCATATACAAGAAAAAACAACTCGACTCAACATATTCAGCCAGCAAATTGGACTGAAAGTCAACTGTAATAAGACAGATATCATGACCTTTAATATTACCTCACCATCACCAGTACGGATAGAGGATCATGTTGTCACCAAGATAGAAACATTCACATACTTGGACAGCACCATCAGCCAGGACAGTGGAACAAGCCAGGACATCCGGAACAAAATCAATAATGCCGGGAACACCTTCAGGAACTTAAATACAGTTTGGAAATCATCAAAATACAACACCAAAACCAAACTCAAGATTTATCAGAGCTGTGTACTTTCAACACTACTTTATAGTGCAAAATGCTGGAGAATAAGAAAGCGTGACATGTCCAAACTGTCTTCATTCCATACAACCTGCCTCAGAAAAATCCTCCACATCTTTTGGCCCAGAACAATCTCAAACCAAGACCTATTCACACAGTGCAGCCAAGAGGATCTGAGCACCATCATTGCCTGGAGGCGCTGGAGATGGATCGGTCATGTGCTTCGGATGGAAACTGATTCCATCACCAGAATAGCATTAAGATGGACACCTGAAGGAAAGCGAAAACGAGTCTGCCCCAAAACAACATGGCGAAGAGCTGTGGCAGTTGAGCTGAAAAACCTGGGGCACAATTGGGGAACCATTGAAAGACTTCCCAGAAACAGACAGGAGTGGAGGAGCTTTGTTGCTGCCCTAACGCCAGAGACATAATGGGAACATGATGGGATGATGATGGGGTTAAAGCAAATTATTCCTACCACAGCATTGGCCCCATAACATCAATTTATTAACAATAATTTGACGAGCTGATCCCAAGAGCCAGCTGAGTGCATTGTGCCATTATCACTGAATTTTTCATAAAAAAAAACAAGGCTTCAATTACATAAGCTTCCTCCCTACACTGATTAATATCAAATCACCAGCTGCATATCAGCTGATAGCCACTGGCAACTAGCTGTAGCATTAGCTGTACCATTTGCTTCATTAGGAAAAGGGGAACAATGTGGGAAGCATTCTTAGCTATTCTCACTTTGTCTATGGCAACAGGTAAGTTAAATTGTAGTAGAATTAGGGGAAAACCAACTGGAATACCCATGAGTAATTTATATTCTCATACATGGATGAGGAAGATTAAGACGGGCACCTTAGTCCTGCCACTGTGAAAGGGGACAAAGATCTGACAGTGGTTTCCTAGAAGCTACAGCCCAATGTCTTTTATTCTCTGATGCATTCCCATCCTATAGGCTGGCTGTGTGGTGTATGCTAAGATCCTGCCCGGTATTGCTCTGATAAAATGAATTTGGATGTAACCAGACTTTCATTTTATTTCCACAGGTGCTGCCCCAGAACAGCGCTGTAAGTACGATGACGTTCTTCAGTACCTAAATATCTCCTCTGAAAAGGCACCCCCACTACATACAATACCCAAGGAAAATTGGAAAGAGCCGTTGAAAGTGGAGACACAATTTATACTGATTTCCATCCTCTCGGTGGTAAGAAAACAAACCTCTTTATTATTCTGTATAGTAGGAAATATTGTGTAAATTGACAAGTTAAGGCAGCTGATGATCCTAAAGTGAATGAGTGATTCTTCTCTCACTCATACCAGCGCAAATCGGGAGTAACCCCAGTTACTGTCACTGATGTGAGAGAGTAGAACCCAAACCTTCGGTCTTCTTCTGACCTTCTCCAGACTTCATGGCTGTGGTTTGAAAGTAGAATCCAGAGCAATATTTGTTGGAGATGCCAGGTGTAAAATAGTTTGTCACATCCGCACAAATGAGAGAGTTATTTAAAATTGTTTTAGTGATCACATATTGAACAGGTGTCACATTAAAATGAGCTCTAAAAGATCTAAGTCCAGGGCAAAATTCATTTCTATAGCAGCCTCCTATCAACTTTTTAATTAACCTGTTAAGCTGCCCTGAGCTGCCAAGACACTGCAAAGTTGTCCAAGAATACTCAGGAATTTGGCCCTTGATTTGGATTTCATCAGAACTTCTTTCTTTTTGTTTCCTGCACACAGACATCACACACAAAAAAGCGCCTCTTACAAGGGAAACACCACCCTCTGCTTAGCCTGGGTGAAGGAAACCCACATTATTATCTGGTGTTACAGCAAAGTGGAGTTGTGGGGAGCGGGGAGAGTGAGTAGAGACTTGTGCAGTTCTTGTTTGTTTTTTCCCTCTTTATATATCAGGGACCTGTTTGCCAGAAGCTGGGAATGAGCGGCAGAGGATGGATCACTTGATGATTATCTGTTCTGTTCATTCCCTCTGAGGCACCTGGCACTGGCCCCTGTCGGAAGACAGGATACTGGGCTAGATGGACCTTTGGTCTGACCCAGTAGGGCCATTCTTATGATCAGATTCTGTAGACTCTATTTCCCTGAGCCATGTTGCAAATTTTCTCCCATTCTACTGCTCTGGATCCTCTCCCAGCACAGATTTACATAGCCAGGTGGATTCTATCAGGCAACTATTTTTTCCAAACATTGGATCTTACAAACTGGAGAGTAGAATGGGAGGGTAAGACCAAGAACAGTAAGTTATTGGCCTGACCTGATTTTCTCATATCTCTGACACCCATCACGCCATCATTGTAAGAAAAACGCTGAACAGCCTCTAAGTTCTGTACCTATTTTAGTAAATGAAATCATGATAATCACTTTCCCATTTTGTTTCTCTAGACTGAAAAGCTTCAAACTGTCACAGTCTATTTCTTAGTGACCATGGTAAGAAATTTTTTCTGTAAAATCAAAGCTATTTCCTGTGTGCTGTGAGTCCAGAAATTGTTTCCATTCTGTGATTTCTCTTTCCTCTAGGAGTGGAAAAATGTCTTTGTGACTTGGAATCCTCAGGATTTCTGTAACATTTCCAAACTCGTTCTGCCAGTGGATACATTTTGGTCCCCATATATCATCATTTATGAACAGTAAGACTCTCCTTGGCTAATTTCAACTTACTTCCGTAAGAGGGATAATTACAAGGGACATGATGGTTTCCACTAAGATCAATGGGACTGACTCATCTGAGTGAGGATTACTCACATAAGGAAAGGTTTTGCAGGATGAATTGTGCGGGGGAAGAAGGGGTACGAAATAGCTAAGAATCAATTACCTGATCTCATGCTACTGTAGGAAAATATTCATTAAATAAAACTGTGGTTTTTTAGTCCCTGAGTGAGGAGGCACTAGTAGAGCGTTGCAGGCTATGGGAAAATTATCGAGAGACAAGGAAGCCAATCAAAAGGAGACAGACTCTAACAGCGTAGCTTAGAGGCTCCTGTCACTGTTTATTCTGGAGGTCCAGGAGATGCCCGCAGTACTATGATATTTGGTATTGTCCCTAAATGGTTAATTATTAATGATTATTTGTTAAGCAGCAAAAGCGTGCTCAGCACTGCACAAGACACAAATAAAGACATAGGGCCTGATTCTGCTCTCACTTTACATGGTGGAAATCAGGAGTAATTCAGTTAGAGGGTGGAGGCAGTGTGAGATCAGAATTAGGCCAACAGTCCCTGGTCCAATGGGGCAAGTGGTTCATGTGTCCTTGAACGTTCTTCCTGTCTCATCTAGCACGCTAATGGGGTGCACTACAAGTCTTGGTGTAGATGGGGGTTATCAGCCCTTCTCTGCGCCCCAGACTTTCTCTCTTCCAGTCTCTCCTATCTCCTCCCACAGCCTTTTTGGCCTCTCCTGTTTGTTTTAACTCTCTCATCCCTGGTTACTTGCTGTCACTCGCCCTCTCTCTTCTGTTTCCTGTTGTATGTAGTAAGGTTCACTGACCATTCAAAGTCAGACTAACAGTGAGTTTGCAAATAAAATATGGTCTTCGATCTGCAACAAGCGTTTGGTCATTTTACTCTTCATTGTTGTTGAATCATCGGTTCCTTCAGAGTGGATGAAGAGAAATCTCTCAGCAGGCCCTTTCTGTCCATCACTCACAACGGCATCATTAGCACAACCCAACAGCACCAGACCACCATAACGTGCAGCTTGGAGATGCACCAGTTTCCATTTGACACCCAGACGTGCACCATGAGCATATCCTCAGTTATGTATTCAGGTATGTCCGTTCTTATTCACTTTTACTACAACTAGACTGGATTGGCTGGTGCTGGCCACTGTCCCCAACTAGTCAATGGACTAGACGGATCACAGGTCTGATCTACTATTGACATTTTTATGTTCACTACTCAATACTGTCCACTGTGTTTAAAAAAAAAAAATGGCGTAAGGGAAAAACTGGGCTATAGCACGATCTCCCACTATGGAGTCTCCTATATCTATATCTCTGGAAGAATCCAGGATTTGCCTCTGTAAAGCGTCTACTCCCAGGAGTGGACAGCTTAGTCAAATGACTAGTCCCACGGACTGCAATAGAGATTACTTGTATAAGAGTTTGCAAGATCTAGTCCTTAAAATGTGCCTGAGGGTCTAGATACAAAATAGAACTCCAAGGGCTGAAGTTGAGAGGACTACTCACATGACTGACAAAGGGCTGCAGGATGGGACCCAGACTTAGAGATTTGAGTTCCAGGCTAGAGATCTAGGGTCTGGACTGCTGCATGCTTTCTTATTTTATCCCCACCATGGTAGTCGCAGAAACGGGGAGGCAAGACTTACTTTCAAGCATGATCTTTTATTGTTTGCATAGACAGGTGTCCATTTAGCTACAACTATTCTAATAATTCAGTTTCACTTGAAAAGTATTTGGCTTCGTTAAACTAAAGGTAGCAAATGTTTCATGACATTCCTGGAGTTTAAAGGCAGAAGGGATCATTAGATCATCTAGTCTGACCTTCTGTCTCTCACAAGCCATTAAATGTCACCCAATTACCCCTGAATTGAGTCCAATAACTTGTGTTTGGCTAAAGCAGCTCTTACAGAAAGTCAACCAGCTACGATTTGAAGAGGAAACTCTTTGCTAGGAATGCCAGTATTAAACAGGCCCAGTTCACATCTGGGAGTGAAACATTCCAGGGAAGGGGGCTAGCCATCTCGGTATCGAGACTTAGATATTTTTCCTAAGAAAATGCTCCATTTGCACAGTTGCCACCTTAAGGATCATCCTTCTGTAGCTAAAGGAATGTGCTTGCAGTAGTGAGTCTGTGCAGAAGAGGCCCACATAGTAGCTACTCCCAAGTATTTATGGAAGCACAGGAAAGAGACATTCACTGCCAACTGCTCCTGTAAGTGCATGATCTAAAGCTCACTGGAGTCAGTGGAAAGACTCCCACTGACTTCATTAGGATTTGGATCAAGGCCATAAGATAGGAGATAGAATTCAACCAAGTATCCAAGACCAACGGAGTTATGAAACTCCTACTGTCAGCAGACATCTGTTCCCATTTAAGCAATGACCTTTGGGCCAGATTCTGATCTCATACTGGTATAACTCCATTGATTTCAATGACGTTATTCCCAGTTTACCCTGGAGTAAGACTCAAGCTCCAAGTACACGACTAGTTCTGTTTCGGGCAAGAGATGTAATTTTCCCACTGGAGGGGGAATCTTAACCTTCTCTTCCCTCCTTCTGAATACACACCTGGACTATGGTGGCTGATCTGAACTCCCTGCACTGAGAAAGGAACCACCTTTAAACCACTTTGTCTTCACTTTCTTTCCTCAAACAGTAACAGACATTGTACTCCTGTCCAATCAGACAACAGAAGAGGCGAATAAACAAAGCCAACTTTATCACCTGACCAATGGAGAATGGAAGTTCATGAACATAAACATCATAGAATACACAGAGTCAGTGGACAAAGAAGAGTTTGCTGTGATCATCTATCAGGTATTGCATCATCAGTGTATTTCACACACTATATATTTCATTCATTGATTTATCATAAACGCGCCCTTCAGAATATCAGGGCTCAGCTACAAAAACTAAAAACACAACCCAAGCAAAATCTAGTCATCTTTAAAGGACTAACCCCCACAATTACAAATACACATTCCCTACCAGGCAAAGCGCTTTATAAAATTATAGATATTTTAACAAAAGGTCCAGGGAGATATATATTATTCGCTTATGTCCAAGAGTTAGTATTGCTGCATTAGCAACTTCGTGGGAGTTTAAAATCTCAAAACAGAATGATCTGATAAAAATGAAAGTTACATACCTCTAAATGGAGGTCTCAGAATGTGGCATCTCTGCAGCCTCTGCCTGACCCCTACAATGTAGATCTGTAGAGCTGAATCAAGAAAGAGCACGATCTGCTGCTCATGCCAAGTGCTGTGTTCTGCAAAAAGTTCATGGGGGAAATAGGCAACTCCCATGTCTAAACGGGAGAACGACAGCAGTCTCACAAATCCAGCAGCACAGGTGCCCAAGACAACTCATGGTACCAGTTCCACTGCCACATTCCTAGCATCTCGGTTCTAACAATGCAGGAGGCAAGGCCAAAAAGAGGGTGGAACCAAAGCCAGATCATGCTTAAGCAAAATGAGCTTTGACAGTACAGCTCTCATAGAAGCATATGGGGTCAGACACTAATGCTGGAAAGTCGCTGGATTCCTTCATAGCTGGTAACAAAGACATATTTTCATGATATAGAACTACACAGTTATGGGTCCAGATCCTCAGTAGGTACAAATTGCTGTAGCTCCACTGACATCACTGGAGCTACACTGATTTATACCAGCTGAGGATGTGGTCTAAGGCGGTTTCATCTTCCTTTGAGGCATCTAGTACAGGCCACTCTGAGACAGCTTACTGCACTAGATGGACCTTTTTGCCCACTCCCATTTCAATGTGTGTGTTTAGGAGAGTAGAAGAAAAAGAAACCAGAGAGGTGAGGGTATATGTATTCAACGGGCACGTGTGCATGAATATTGATACAGAGAATACCGGTATTAAAATAGCAAGAGTGCATAGAACATAGCGCTCGACCCAAAATTAGGGTAAAGGGGGTTAGGTGAAGTCACTGGAAGTAGGTGGTAGAAAGAGATGGGCAGGTAAGGAAGAGCTAGCAGGACAGGTGGAAGAAGAGGATGGGAAGTTGGGGTTAGCATACAGGAAATGAAGTAAGGAAAGGAAGTCGGGGACAGGATGAGGGTGAGTGTTTATGGCTGGCACTTGAAGCTTAGGCTGCACTAGAGGGTAGGAAGCCCACTGGGGCCTATTCCCACCTTTGAGTTGATAGCGGTAGCCTGGATTCCAACCACAGTTGGAGAGTTAAGCTGTCATGGGATAAGAGGGAAGGTCCTGTAATGGATTGGTAACTGGTTAAAAGATAGGAAACAAAGGTTAGGAATAAAGGGTCAGTTTTCAGAATGGAGAGAGGTAAATAGTGGTGTCCCCAGGGATCTGCTCTGGGACCAGTACTATTCACCATATTCATAAATGATCTGGAAAAAGGGGTAAACAGTGAGGTGGCAAAATTTGCAGATGATGCAAAACTACTCAAAATAGTTAAGTCCCAAGCAGACTGTGAAGAGCTACAAAAGGATCTCAGAAAACTGTGTGACTTGGCAACAAAACGGCAGATGAACTTCAATGTTGATAAATGCAAAGTAATGCACATTGGGAAAACATAATCCCAATTATACATATATGGGTCTAATGGGGTCTAAATTAGCTGTTATAACTCAAGAAAGATCTTGGAGTCATTGTGGATAGTTCACAGAAAACATCCACTCAATGGGCATTAATAGTTCAAAAAGTGAACAGAATGTTGGGAATCATTAAGCTAGGGATAGATAATAAGACAGAACATATCATATTGCCTCTATATAAATCCATGGTACGCCCACATCTTGAATACTGCATGAAGATGTGGTTGCTCCATCTCAAAAAAGATATATTGGAATGGGAAAAGGTTCAGGGGGGGGGGAAATGATTAGGGGTATGGAATGGCTTCCATATGGGGAGAGATTAATAAGACTGGGACTTTTCAGCTTGGAAAAGAGACAGCTAAGGAGGGATATGATAGAGGTCTATAAAACCATGACTGGTGCAGAGAAAGTAAATAAGGAAGTGTTCTTTATTCTCTCTCATAACAGAAGAACTAGGGGTTACCTAATGAAATTAATAGACAGCAGGTTTAAAACAAGCAAGAGGAAGTATTTTTTCACACAACACACAGTCAACCTATGGAACTCCTTGCCAGAGGATGTTGTGAAGGCCAAGACTATAACACAGTTAAAAAAACCAACTAGATAAGTTAATGGAGGGTAGGTCTATCAATGGGTATTAGCCAGGATGGTGTCCCTAGCCTCTGTTTGCCAGAAGCTGGGAATGGACAACAGGGGATGGATCACTTGAGGATTACCTGTTCTGTTCATTCCCTCCAGGGAACCTGTCATTGGCCACTGTCAGAAGACAGGATACTGGGCTAGATGGACCTTTGGTCTGACCCACTATGGCCGTTCTTATCTTCACAGTTGGAGGCATCAGTCTTATCCCATCAAGACCAGCACTAATCCAGGCCATTCTGTTATTTCATGTTTGCCTTGTTCCCTCCAGATCTCCATGAAAAGACGACCCATTTTATACGTTTTGAACCTTATCTTTCCAACATGTGTGCTCTACTTATTGGATATGGCTATTTTGTTCAGTGCCAGCTCTTATGGGGACAAGATCAGCTTCCAGCTGTCACTCATCATTGGAGAGTCTGTGTTAGCTCTGATTCTTAAGGACATTCTTCCCACTTCTTCCGATGACCCACCCATAATAGGTACTTGTCTTTACTAAGTAAAAGTCACTTTATATTAGACATACACTGAATGTAAGGAAGAGAGCAGAGTACAAACGTGTCGCCTATTCAAAGATAGTAAGAAGAGGAACACTAGTCACTGCAGTAGAGCTGTAATACTAGAAGTCCCTATGCAGAGCAGTTTCTGGACTTGGGACACTATATTTCTTCTATAAAGCAGAAGCCCACAGTAGATAGAATTATGGATCTAGAAGTAGTAAGGCAGAGAGTTTATCAATCACATCCTCTTCATCTTCTTTTGCAGTGATGTTTTTCATAGGTGTCTTTGTCCTAATGATTATGGGTGTATTGGAGACCTGCCTATTAATGCAGCTGAAGAAGAAACCCCTACACCCTATACTCAAGGCTATGAAACTGCTGAGATGCCGCAAGCAAGCTAGAACAACATCTGGAACCCTCCTACGCAAGCAGGGTTGGTGTTTGGTTACCTACATGTGAATACTCTGTATCCAGTAGCAGGGTTCTGTCAGTAGGGAGCCCCTTATCTCTGGAAATCAATCACGTTAGCAGGCTTAGAACCCATGTCCACTGTGTTTCAGGCCACATTTGATCATAAATTCACACAGACACCTATCTTTCAACATCATTATGGTGCGTATATTATACTAATGTAATATATGTAGGCAACATATATGTACACAAAAGAGCTGCACCTTTATTATTTATGTAGGCTCAGCTGTAAACCCAGCCCCATGCAGAGTCCACCAATTCTGGCCAGCCCCACAAGTCCCTTGAGCCAGAAAAGTCCCTGAGATTTTCTGATAGAAAGATGTATGAAGTTTTTATTAACCTATCAAGCAAATAAAGTCAAGTTTAGCATCATGCAGGCCTCTGCTC